CTATATATATATATATATATATATATATATATATATATATATCAGGTCAAATAAATAACTGCAATATATCCCAAATACATTTATTTGTTTCATTACATTTTATTTCACTGGACTTAAAAAAAAATGTTTTAAATTTATTAGCAATATTTTTAACACATTTCTATACTTTAAAATACATGAAAAGGTAAACAGTATTTTTTGTAACATTTATATATTTCTATTTTAATATATATATAGCAACAGGACAAGTAAGTAACTTAAATATATATCAAATACATTTAATTTGTTAACTATATTTTTTAACTTAAATTTTTAAATTATCAATATATTAGCAATATTTTGGGCATTTTTATGTATTTTACAATACCTGAATAATCGTATATATTTAGATAAAGGCACCGTAAAATGAATTACATACATTTTCTATAATTTGTTAATTGCTCATTCACACAATTGCTCAATCCAGTTTTTACAAAACATTTACAAATGTGTTCTAACCACTGGTACCATATTGTTTTCCCCCCTCTATTTTGTTCCTAGTTTAAAAGTTATAAAAAAAAAAAAAAAAAGTAGAGGGTCAAGAGCCCAAATAAAGGTGCCACTAATCAGGATTCTGGTGACTTCAAATGAAACATTCAATGAAACATCAACATCTAAAACCTCTGTTAATTCTCAATAAGAACTTCTTTAGATGTCTGACAGAAATAAAGTCAGTCTGGTAATAATGAGTGAAAAGCGCGTTGAATGCAAGGTATAATAATGAGAAAATTAAATTGAAGGTGATAATTGTGTTAAATACATTCTATTATTAATCCCTCCTGACATTTAAAATTGAAAATATTTGTATTTATAACCCTAATAGCAGTTACCCTTGCTGGACCTGTTTTGTCCCATGTCTCAAGAATGACTGAGGTGCATTCATCAACATTCACACTTGCTGAGTATAGTTTGTGCTGTGGTTAAGAAATGTTGCATTTTTATTGTGTGTTATTTATTTAGGGTTCCTGTAGTCTGAAGGATCTGTCAATCATCAGGGCTCCTCTGGACATCCCAATCCCAGACCCTGCCAAAGAGGAGCTCAAGAGGAAGAAGAAAGAGGAGGTAATCATAACACATCATTTATTATTAACAAGCATTACTGTTTCCATTCATTTCTTTTTAAATTAATAGATTTTCTGATTGCACCTTCAAGCCAGTCTGTGGTTTGGTTTAAGTAATTGATTAGGCCGGTAATGACATTTTATTCACACAGAAAGAGGCCAAAGAGGGAAAGAAGGATGGAGATAAAGATAAAGATAAAGATAAAGAGGATGAAGGTAAAGGTTTAGAAGCAATTTGGAAAATGAAACTGAAAATGTTACTTGTTCGGTTCTCTTTTCCCGAGACCTTGGGAATTCCTCCAAATGCGAAATGACAAGGTGTAATTCACAGCGTGAACACAGGGTGGCACTGAGTCACTGTTAATGTCATAGAAATTATACAGAACCTAAAGTAGATTTTGAGAAAGTATTGTATGTCTTCATCCATCTCTGTTCTTAACCTAATGATGTTAATTGTGATCTGAAAGGTCCTCCCTGTGGTCCCATCGCCTGCAATGACACAGTAGAGAAACTCCTCAAACAGATCAAACCTGAGATTCAGACTCTGAAGGAGTGTCTTAACACGGTGAGGAAGTGTTGTTATATATTATATATCATATATAATTATGCAGATCTCAAAAGTTAAGTTACATTTAAGTCAAAACCTTTTTTTTTGACATTCTATTTGATCAACTGGTTTTATAATACGTATGCTGGCTCTGATACATTTAATAAAGCATTTTGGTACATTTTTGTACATTGTGTAATATTTGTGTTGTGCACCTGACTGTGCAGGTGTCAATGTGGATACAACTACAGATTCCCCGAATTGAAGATGGGAACAACTTTGGAGTTGCTGTACAGGTCAGTTAACCTATCTTGTGACAGAATGAAATAACATTTGTCAAGTGATTAATTCTTATGTTTAGGTTTAGATTAGAATTTGTACAAATGTATGCATTACACATGTGGTTAAAAAAAGTGAGTCCCAGTTAGGGATACTTAAAAAAACAAAACAATGAAACCTTCAGAAATAGTTAATAGATTAACATAACCAATAATTAATATGTAGTTTATCTCAATTACTCAAATGATGTGTAATTCATGCAAGTTTTATAAATTTGTGTGGATGACACTTTTTAGCAAAAATATATATGACTATTTTTCACCTACATGCATTGCTTTTACTTTAATAATATTAATTATGGTGTTAAATTGCATTTCCATTCAAAAGTTTGTGGTCAGTATTTTTTTTTTCCAACAAGGACACACTACACTGATCAAAAGAGGCAGTAAAGACATGTAATGTTACAAAACGTGTGTTTTTTAATAAAAATATTCATATTTTTTATGAAAATATTCATTAATATATATATATATATATATATATATTTACATTACATTTACATTTATTCATTTTTTTTATCCAAAGCGACTTACAATTGGGGAATACATCAAGCGATTCATCTTAAAGTGGAAAATAGACACAGGAAGTGCTCGTCATACCAAGTTTCAAGCATTTTCACGCAGATACGTTTTCTATGTTGTTTACGCTTTGATCTGAACGAAAACAACGTATCCGCATGACGCAGCTGACACAGAAAAGCATACGCTGTTTATGTTCAGTGGATACTCTCCAAAATGGCACCAGGGTAACGCGGAGGAGACGAATTGTTGAATAAAGTCGTTATTTTTGTTTTCTTTGTGCACAAAAAGTATTCTCGTAGTTTCGTAAAATTACGGTTGAACCCCTGATGTCACATGGATTATTTTACCGATCTCCTTGCTACGTTTCTGGACCTTGATTGTGGTAATTACGTTGTTGTCTATGGGAGGGTCAAAGAGCTCTCAGAATTCATCAAAAATATCTTAATTTGTGTTCCGAAGATGAACGGAGGTCTTACGGGTTTAGAATTTTCATTTTTGGGTGAACTATCCCTTTAAGTGCGTTGCCAGTTTCGTTGCTCGGTTAAAGTCGCGCAGGTAAAGTCGTAGGTCTTCACACGAGGGCTGAACGCTTCCGCTGACGCTTCCGCCTCAGCTGACAGACAACAAACAAATGCACAGCCACCCGACACTTCAGAGAAAACAGCTGTGGCCGCCTTGTTAAATTAGCACACCCAAAAGCCTATAGCAGGGCAATTGCTCAAATCAAAAATAAAGTTCGCACTTAAATAACAAAAGCTCATTCTTAGCCGACGGCTATTACTCTAATTACAAATAAAGTGCAATCAAAAATACAAATTACAACGAAAAATAGCAGTAGAAATAGCTAGAGAACAAAATAAACCTTAGCAGCAAGTAACAATTTAAACAACAGATGCGGAAACAAAGTATTAAGCAAACACTTACGTGCTCCCGCCTGCTCTGTTGACTGGTCGCTTCACAGTTTTCACACAAATATTAAGCAGCACATTTATTTTCAACATTAGCAATAAGAAATGTTTCTTGAGCTCCAAATCAGCATATTAGAATGATTTCTGAAGGATCGTGTAACACTAAAAAACTGGAGTAATGAGCTTTGCATCACAGGAATAAATTACATTTTAAAATATACTGAAATGCTGTCAAATAATATACTGTAATAATATTTCACAATATTACTGTTTTTACTGTATTTTTATCAAATAAATGCAGTCTTGGCATAAGGGAAAACAAAAAAAAATCTCACCGACCCCAAATTTTTGAACGGTGTTATATTTATATATAATTTAGTAGTAGTACACAGTTGTGTGAGTTTTATGTGAATAAAAGCAAAAATGTTCCTACAGGAAAAAGTTTTTGAACTGCTTACCAACACCCGCACCAAGATCGAGGGATTCCAGACACAGATTTCCAAGTAAGTGACCAGACTACATTACAAACAGAGTCAAACACCTTTATTATAAATACTAGTTATTTTATATATTTTTTAATAATAATTTTTTAGACATGGATATGCAGTTGTGATGTGTTTCTGTTTCCTCAGATACTACAGTGAAAGAGGAGATGCTGTAGCCAAGGCTTCCAAACAGCCACATGTGGTAAGTTTATTTGATGTTAGATTTAGCTCAATTAAACCAGTTGACATGATCCTTGAATTCTTTGAGCTTCTGATAATTTGATTGGTTTGTTGCTTGGCAACAGGGAGATTTCAGACAGCTTGTCCATGAACTGGATCAGCACCAGTACTGTGAGTTACGCATCATAGTCCTGGAGATTCGCAACACTTATGTAAGTTCAGTCTCAGCTTACTGTAAACAAACCATCACAGTTTCTCATTTGAATGTACGGTGGTGTTTATGTGTCTGGTGAGACGGCTGTGTCTGATTTCATCCATTCGTTCAACTCTAGGCTGTGATGTATGATGTCATCATCAAGAACTGTGACAAGATTAAGAAGCCCAGAGGAGACTTGTCTTCAAAAGCACTTATCTACTGAGTACCGCAGCCGATCTGCACTGACAAGACACACACACACACATTTGCTGAAAAGTAAAAACATGTCATATTGAGTTTCACATCCACAGTCACAGTGCATTGACTTAAGCTTCAGTTACATCAACAGAACCTACTGTAGTACAGTTTTTACTCAATAAAGACTTTAAATGTGGTATCTCATGTTTTTATTCAAAATGTCATAAAACATTAGTTTTATTATGCTTGCTTATAATTATTAACGTCAGACAAAACAGGAAAATAACTATTTAATTCTTCATATATGCTACCGTTCAAAATTATCAGTAAGATTTAGATAGAAATAAATACTTTTATTCAACAAGGATGCAAAAAAAATTTATCAAACCTTAGACATTTGTAATGTTACAAAAGATTCATGTTCTGTCCATGAAAAATATGAATATAAAGTAAATACAATTAATAGATTAAATTAACAACTTAATGTCATTTATCATCTACATTTGTAGAGTGTAGCAGAATATACACCCACGCATATTTATTTTACTTTAATAATGTTAATTATAATGTTAAATGACATTACCATTTAAAAGTTGTTGTTTATTTTAAAGAAATTAATACTTTTATTTGGCAAAGACAAAAATTGTAGTAATGGTGTAATGAAAATTCAGCTCTGCCATCACGGTAATAAATTATATTTTAAAATATATTAAAATAGAAAACAGTTATTTTAAATTGTAATAATAATTCACAATATTACTGTTTTACAGTATTTTTGATCAAATAAATGTAGCCTTGGTGAGCATAAGAGACTTCTTTCAAAAATCCTGTTGACCCTGAACTTATATCTGAATAAAGGTATGTATGTTTTTTTGACTCTTGACACCCATTTACAAAAGTTGTACATTTTATATATTCTTTTTCTCATTTCATTAACATACATGTCCTATTTGATGCAGTATTACATGTTATCTGAAAGCAAAGCTTTTGGTCTTCCAACACAGCACCAGCCAGGCTTTAAAACACACCAGCCCTTATAATAAACGCCCTTCCATCCCAGATACCCAAGAGCTCCTCCAGCCAGCTGGGACGGAAACCGCGGGAAGTGCGCTAGCAAGCAGACGATCAGGAAGATCCAGAGACTCGTCAACAACACACAACAAGAAGAGTATCCTCAGTGGCGTCCCTACAGGCTTTCCTAAAGCCACGCAGGGCCTAAAAACCCCTATTTCTTCAGCAAGAATCAAACAACAGAGAGGAGACGGCAGAACAGTGTCCACAGCGAGTCGAGAGAGGTGACGGACTGAGTGAATGAACGAGTTACTGATGCAGTATGAGAGAAGAAAGATGAAAGAGCCACATAAAAGTGACGTGACATGTGGCCAAGTATGGTACTAGGAATTAGTGCTCTGCGTTTAACCCATCCTAAGTGCACACACACAGCAGTGAACACACACACACCGTGAACACACACCTGGAGCAGTGGGCAGCCATTTATGCTGCGGTGCCCGGGGAGCAGTTGGGGGTTCGGTGCCTTGCTCAAGG